AACCTCCTTCAAAATCCAAGTTCATTAATGAAGAAAACCTCACTTTCTCTCTCTACCAATGAAGACTAACCCTAACCTAACCTAAAACTAAAACTAATTAGAGAGAAGAATAGATAGTTATTGAATGTTCTTCTAATTACCCCAAAATTGAGTATTTATACTAAGCTAATAAAACTAGGAAAAATAGAAAAATAAAAGAAGGAAATAAAATAAAGAAAGAAAAGGAAATAAAAAGAAAATAAAATAGAAAATAAATAAAAGAGAAAAGAAATAAGAAAAAGGAAAAGGAAAAGAAATAAAAATAAAAGAAAAAGAAAAATAAAAAAAAAACCAAAATCCCCAAAACAATCAGACGTTTTTATTTCTTCTTCCCCTTCACATTGGCTGCTTCAAGTTGAACTCCATTGAAGCTCATCTTATCACCACCGTTCATCAACCATCATCATCAAATCGAGGCCGTTCGATCCTCATTAAAAGCCATGTGCATAGCTCGTGAAATGGTTCGATCGAACCTGGGTTGGTGCGGCCGAACTACGGGGTTGGTTCGGTCGAACCATGGGTATGTTCGACCACTCCTCTTCGAATAACAAAACCCACAAAGTCTCTGACTCGAAGTTCGATCGAACCACAAACGGTATGCTCGAACTTGATTGATTTTCAATTTGTTCTGATTTGCTTAATTGAGGGGCCGAATTGCTTGTGCGAATTGGTTGCTTAATTGTTACTGGTTTAGGTGCGGCTGATTGCGGGTGTAAAGCAGGCTGTTGTGAGGTGAATTGCGGGCTGCTGTAATTGGTTGAGGGAGGTTGATTGCGGTGGCTAGGTTGCGTTGGTGTTGGTGGTGTTGGGGATTGCGTGGCTGCTGTTGCGGGGCAATGGTGCGAATTGGAGCAGGGGGAAAGGGAGGTGAGTGGTGGTGTGTGGTGTGCGCTGTTGCGGCTGGTGGTGCTGGTGTGCGTGGTTTTTGCGAGGTTGCAGTTGGGTTGGTGCTGGTGTGTGTGGTTTTGTGGCTGGTCGAGGGAGCTGCTGTGATGTGTGGTGGCGCTGCTAGGTGCAGTTTGTTTGTGTTGGTGCTGCTGCGGGGTGAAGCAGGGGAGTGGATTAGCTGGTTGCGGTGGTCAGGTGGTTGGTTGTGTTGTTGTTGGTGTTGGTGGAGCAGGGCAGCGAAGTGCTGTGTTTTGGTGTGGTGTAGGATAATGAAGGAGATGGGGTGAAGGATAGGAGGCAGCAGCTTGGGTTGGCTCAAGTTTTGCGCCTCGAACCTTGGACCTCCGAACACGAACATGAACTTGAAACCCGGGACACCTACAACCAAAAACACGAGGGTATTACTAAGAGATAAAATAAAATAAAATAAAGAAAAGGTAAAATAAAATAAGATAAATAACACTAAACTAATAAAAATTAAATAAAACTATAAAGTAAAGAAAGTGAAATAAAATACGAAAGTAGACTAAAACTAATAAAATAAAGAAAATAAACTAAAACACTCCAAAATTACCAAAATAAACTAGAAACTTTATTAAAGAGAAAACAAGAGAATAAAAGGAAAATAAGAGAAAATAAACACGGAAAAGACTCTAAAACTACTCCTTAGGAGTGACATAAATGTCACTCATCAGTAGAATGAGCACTCCCCTCACTAACATCATTAGAAACCTGGATAGAAACATCATCCATGAGCATAGGTTAGGCAACGGAGGTCTCTTGAGGGCTTGATCAATCGACACCTTGTTATGTCTCCATGGAAGAGGGGTGTCCACAGATCTAACTATAGCCTCGGGGTGAGGGATGGGGCACCAATCCGTAGTCCTTGTAACCTTCCAAATATACAAGTTTGCTTTGGTGGTGCCCTCCAAAAAACGTTGATTAATCATGGCATAGATGCTTAAGAAGTGGTAAGGAGCTTTCTCCCTTTTATCATGGATTCGGACAAGCGACTCTTGCATTGATTCATACTTTTTGTTAAGAGAAATAATCAAAATGGTAATCATACCCCCCAATTGGATACTTCCGGAGAGATGGACACCATCTCTTATATCAATGAAACGGTCGAGCAAATGCAAAGCGAAGTCGATGACCGCTATCCCCTCTTCAAATGGCTTATCCGCTAGCCATAACCAACTCAACTCCTCTCGGAAAATAGCACCAAGGGGATTCCTTGGAGAAGAAAGAATATGTGAGGAGTCGGCTAAAATACCTCAAGGCCGCATGAATAATCGACCCCGCCTTAGAATATTGAGGAATATATAAGTCCTCGATAGAAATATGCCTCCACCACTTGAATTCACTATAATTGTTATCACTTTGCATGACATAAAATACCTCATACACAAGTGGGACATCCTTACTAGGAGTTGGAAACTTGAAAACCTCATTAAGATAGGAAAATAGGCACCGAATGATCATTGTTGAAAACTTGAAAAGAAATTCTTCGAGAAGTTTCACCTTCCAAATCCTCCTCAAGGACCTCAAGATAAGAGAGGAATTCCAAAGTAATCCGAGAGTAAGTGGGAGCATGAAGGCTTAAGAATTCCTCTAACCCCAAGTTTCGAGCCAAAAATCTCACATCATCGTCGATACCCAGCAAAGTAGTCTCCGACGAATCATGGAATCTAGTAGAAAAGAGTGTCTGAGTTGAAAGCTTGGCAAATTTCTCCCAATGCTCTTCCTTTGTGAACTCAATTACATAAGTCTCTGAAATGTGGGAAGAAGGAGGAACCACCTCCCTATAGGTAGAGCGTCTAGCCCTCTTAGCTCGTCGGAGAAGAACCATTCTACACACATAATTGAAAAATGCTCTAGTGAGTAAGGACCATGAGTCACAAGTATGCATCATGAGAAACAACACTCCAAACCATCATAAAAAACAAACTATGCACATTAACATTCCCATATCAATATAATGAAACTATAATTCCAACAAAGGTGGTGCCAAAATTATAGTATGGTCAAGCAAAATCATCAAACACAAGTTCATATAATCACCAAAATTTCATCATTAATACAACAAATGAAGTAGATAGTAGGCAATATTTATACATTAATGAGGCCATAACCAAATCAGTCTAAACACTCATGAACAACCAAGGTAGAAAATTTATCATAAGTACCAATAGAAATGAAGAAATCATACCTTAGATTGATGAGAGTTTACAAAGAAGTGGAACACAAAGCACTAAAAACACAATTATGCCGAATTGCAAGCAACAAACCCCAAACCAAAGGGGTACCCAAAAATCCCAACTTTAGGAAAGATAAAATCACAATGAAAGTGTTAGAGTAGGGATTAAGAGTAATAAGAAACTAGATTTAGTGAAAAATGGTGAAATTTCACTAGTAAAATAGTGAAGGAAAATGGTGATGATGCTTGAATAATAACCAAGTAAAAATGGAATGAAAATAAGAAATAGAAAAAGAGAGAAGGTCGGTGCGTTTAAGAGGCATCAGTAGGGGGTGAGCGGCCGCGCCTTAGTCGCTCGCGCCCGCGCCCTTCTGGGTATGCCATCTTCCGAATCCCTTCTCGTGAGCACATCGGTGAGTACATGGGAAATTATCATGATAAAGGTTGAGGCAACTAAACCCAAGAATGTGGGTTCAACACAAGATTTTTATGAGCCCACCATTTGAACCCATCAAACTCCAACTTTTAAGCATACTTCCAATTCATCAACTTGAGCACTCTCTCTTCAAAATAGGCACCAAAATTGTTAGAAATCCAATCAAAACCACCTAAAAACACAATCAAGAAAATAAATCAAATAAGAATATAAACAACGAAAAGAAAACAAAAATAAAAAAATAGAGAAAATGGTTAGAAACTCGAGTTGCCTCCCGAAAAGCGCTTGTTTAAAGTCATTAGCTTGACGTTCTCCACCCTTCAAGGTGGATCAAAAAGAGTCATATCATGAACAACTCCCGCAAAAACTCCATCATAGTAGCGCTTGAGCCTATGACCATTGACTTAGAAAGTTCTTGAAAAATCCAAAGGAGATATTTCAACCGCACCATTAGGAAAAACCTCTTGAACAACAAAAGGACCATTCCAACGAGACATTAGCTTCGCGGGAAATAATCTCATCCTAGAATTGTAAAGGAGGACCTTGTCACCAACATTGAACTCCTTCTTTACAATTAGCTTATCATGCACTTCCTTAGTGCGAGTTTTGTACATGCTTGCACAAGCATAAGCATCCAATCAAAGTTCTTCCGACTCATGGAGATCAAGCCAACGTTGCTCACCCGCACTTGCCAAATCGAAATTGATTTTCCTTATAGCTCAATGAGTACGATGCTGAAGTTCAACTGGAAGATGACAAGACTTCCCATAAACCAAGCGGTAAGGAGTAGTGCCAATAGGAGTTTTAAAAGCCGTTTTATATGCCCACAAGGCATCATCTAGCTTATCTGACCAATCTTTCCTATTTCTTGCTACCGTCTTCTCAAGAATCAATTTGATTTGACGGTTAGACACTTTGACTTGCCCACTAGTTTGAGGGTGATAAGGGAGTCCGAAACGTTGATTAACTCCATGTTTCTTCAACATCTCGCGGAAGGCGCTATGCACAAAATGAGATCCATTATCACTAATAATTGCCTTTGGGATGCAAAACCCTGGGAAGATTATCTTCTTGAACATCTTCATTGCTACCTTATGGTCATTTGTAGGTGAGGCAATAGCTTCCACCTATTTTGACACATAATCGACGGCAACAAGGATATATTGATTCCCATATGAAGTAGGAAAATGACCCATGAAGTCTATTCCCCATACATCAAAAATCTCCAACTCTAGAATGGGTTGTTGGGGCATTTTGTTTCTCTTTGAAATGTTTTTGGTCCTTTAGCATCGGTCACAACCCTTGACAAACTCCCAAACATTCATAAAGAGATTTGGCAACCATAGTCCGCATGGAAGCACCTTCGAAGCCATTTTTAAGACACCCATGTGACCTCCACTCGGATCCGAGTGACAGATCTTCAATACACTAGGCAACTCCTCATTTGGAACACATCTCCTCAACACCCGTTTTGTACAAAATCGGTTCATCCCAAACATAATGCTTAGCCTCCCTTTTGAGCTTCTTTCTTCGATTCTTGGAAAATGAAGGAGGAAATACCCCACAAGCAAGATAGTTTACCAAATCGGCAAACCATGGGAGTTCCTTCACATCTATAGCATACAAAGAATCATCTAAAATTCTATCTTCAATGGGAAACCCATCATCTTGAACTTGAAAATACTCAAGCCTAGATAGATGCTCCGCTACCACATTCTCCGTTCCTTTCTTATCTCTAATCTCAAGGTCAAAAGTTTGAAGCTCTAACACCCAACGAATTAGTAACACAATTTTTTTGGACCCCAACAAATAGCAACAAAATTTTTCAAAGGAATGAACAATAGCCAAGAACTCCTTCTCCGTTGTAGTGTAATTCCGTTGAGCTCCATTTAGAGTCTTGGACATATAATAAATCACATGAAGTTTCTTATCAAATTTTTGACCTAAAACTCCTCCAATATCCGTATCACTTGCATCACACATTAACTCAAATGGCAAATCCCATCTTGGAGCTTGAACAATTGGAGTGGATATTAGAGCTTTCTTCAACTTATTGAATGCCTTCAAACACTTGTCATCGAATACAAACTCGGCATCCTTTTGAAGAAGATCATTGAGGGGCTTTGCAATGAGTTAAAAATCTTTAATGAATCTTCTATATAACCCGGCATGGCCCAAATATGATCTCACACCTTTCACATTGACTGGAGGTGGCAACTTTTCGATAACCTCAATCTTTGCCTTGTCAACCTCAATGCCTTTGTGGGAAATTTTGTGCCCAAGGACTATTCCTTCTTCAACCATGAAATGGCATTTTTCCCAATTCAACACCAAATTCACTTTCTCACTTCTTGCCAAACACTTTTTAAGATTTTCGAGGCATGTTTCAAAGGAAACTTCACCTACGGAAAAATCATCCATAAACACCTCAATCTCCTCCTCCAACATGTCTCCAAAGATACTCATCATACACCGTTGGAAAGTGGCGGGAGCATTGCATAGGTCGAATGGCATTCTCCTATAGGCAAAGGTACCATAGGGAAAAGTAAAAGTAGTTTTCTCTTGGTCATCGGGATGAATAGGAATTTGAAAAAATCCCGAGTAACCATCAAGGAAACAATAGTACTTGTGCCTCGTTAGTCTTTCAAGCATTTGATCAATGAAAGGAATGGGGAAATGATCTTTATTAGTGGATGTGTTTAGACTTCTATAGTCTATACACATCCGCCAACCGATGACCGTCCTTGTTGGAATTAGCTCACCTTTTTCATTCTTGACGACGGTCATGCCTCCCTTCTTTGGAACGACATGAACGGGTGAGACCCATCTAGAGCTTGAGATGGGGAATATGATTCCTACATCTAAAAGCTTAGTAATCACTTTCTTCACTACCTCCCCCATTTGGGGATGTAATTTCCGTTGTCGTTCAATAGAAGGAAGGGCACCCTCCTCAAGGGTTATGTGGTGTGTACATAAAGCAGGGCTTATACCTTTGAGGTCATCAATGGTATAACCCAAAGCACCTTGGTGCTTTCTCAAAACACCGCATAACACTTGAGCTTGGCTTTTACTCAAAGATGAGCTAATAATCACGGGGTAAGTAGAATTTGGGCCTAAGAGTTCATACCTTAGGTGTGATGGTAAAGGTTTGAGCTTTACCATAGGAACACCTTTACCTTCCTTGATCAAAGCCGCTTGCAAAGCCTCTTGGCTTGAGATTTTCATGCAAATTTGCTCATCACTTCCCTCAACGCTTCCATCCAAAAAGTTCTCATACAAAGACATGTCCTTGCTAGGAGCACCTATCTTTTCCTTGTTTAACAAAACACACTCAAGAGGATCATTAGTTGTGAGCAAGTGCTCATGCATTGAATGTACAAGATTATCTAAATTTTTAACTCTCATGCAATTCTCAAAAGATGAAGAAGGATATTTCATACTTTCATTCAAATCAAATTCAAATCCCTCATATCCAATTTTAAGTGAAATCTTAGCACTTTTGACATCAATCAAAGCACCCGAAGTAGCAAGAAATGGTCTACAAAGAATAATAGGAATTGTAGAATCCTCATCTATGTCAATGACCACAAAATCTACCGGAATGATGAACTTTCCTACCCTCAAGGGAACATCCTCTACCTTGCCCCTTGGGATCCTAATGAACTATCGGCTAATTGCAAGGTAATGTTGGTAGGTAAAAGTTCTCCCTTCTCTAGTCTTTGATATACCGAGTATGGCATAATGCTAACACTAGCTCCTAAATCACACAAGGCATTATCAATTTGCATTTTATAAATAGCATAGCGGATAGAAAAGTTTCCGGGATCCTTCAACTTGGGTGGGATTTTGTTCATTATGATTGCACTACAATTCTCGGTCAAGTTAACCATTTCCGCCACATCACATGTTCTTTTTCCACTCAAAATCTCCTTAAGGAACTTTGCATAATTTGGCATTTGTTCTATCACATTTGTTAAAGGAAGAGTAAGATGAAGATGTCTAAGCATCTCTATAATTTTCCCAAATTGCTCGTCTAGCTTGTGCCTATTAAACTTTTGGGGGTAAGGGAGCTTAGGTTTATAAACTTCTCTTTCTCTCTCTTTCACGTTCTCAACTTGTTCCTTATTAACTTCCTAAACTAAAGTATTCTCATCTCCCTCATTCTCAATTTGGCCATTGCTAGGAGTATCTTTAGCATCACTCTTCTTAGAGATTTCACTCTTAAGGACCCTACCACTTCTAGTCACAATAGCATTCATAGGGCTCTTAAGAGCTAAGCTTTGTGAAGTCAAAGAAGAAATATTTGTAAATTCCTTAAATTCATTAGCCAATTGAGAAATTTGGTTCTCTAATCCCTTATGGCAAGTTAACATGTCATTGAATTTCTCATTGCTTAGGGTCATGTAGGTGTCCAACAATTTGGCTTTCTTCTCTATGACACCTTCCAATAAACTCCTACAGGAAAATGATTGATCATACAAATTATCACTATGCTCTTGGGTATTCGGAACAAATCCAAGTGGGGCATCTCTTTGACCATTCGATTGGAAATTTCCCCTACTTTGATTGTTCCAATTACCTCTACATTGATTTTAGCCACTATCGTGATTATGGTTACCATAACCTTGGTTATAGTCCCCATATCCTTTGCCATGACTTTGAACATTATAACTATGGTTGTTATAGCTACCACAATTCCCTTGGATTTCATGGTTTCTATAACTGTCATTTTGGTTATAATTGTCATAGTTCATTTGGTTGTGATAATTCCTATTTACAACATTCCTTTGAGCATCAAATCTAAGTCCAACATTGTTATTAGCAACTAAGTTCACATGTTCATTCTCACTCCCAACATATTCATTAGAAGGAACATTAGGGCAAAAAGAAGCATCATGGTCATTCATTCCACACAAATTACAAAACCAACATTCTCTAATCATGCAACAAGAAGAAGGAAGAGAGTTAGAGGGAGGAGTACCTCTCCCCTTAATTTGGGAGGGAAGAACTGGTGCTTGTGAGGTTGCGCTCTCGAGCTTATACATGATAGAAACTACCTCCTTTCCTAAATCCGAAATTTGAGTCGACAAATTGTTGATAGCATTGAGTTGTTCCATTGAGCATCCCATTGTACTACTCTTGTTTATCGACTTCTTCTCACCATCTTGCCATTCCATGTAGTTTCTAACTACATCCTCAATGATACCTACAACCTCTTCCTCGATCTTATTCATGATTGGGTCTCCGGCATCTAGACTTGCTCTCCCTTGAGGACTCAAACCGCCATTAAAAAATTTGAATGATTAGGTAAGTGGGGATCCTATGGTGAGGACACTCACGTTGGTACTCTTTGTATCTCTCCCATGCTTCATAAAGACTTTTACTAGACTTTTGCTTGAAACCTTGAATCAAAGCTCTTGCCTCCGCCGTTTTATTTTGAGGGAAGAAACGGGAAAGGAATTCCTTGGTGACTTCACCCCAAGTTCTCAAAGAATTAGGCTTCATTTCCTTATCCAGCCACTCTTGAGCTCTTCCAATTAGAGAAAAAGGAAATAGCTTAAGCCTTATGAACTCTTGAGCTACCCCGCTCACCTTAATTGTGTTGCAATATTTCTCGAATTCCTTAAGATGATTTATGGGACTCTCATTCACTCCTCCACTATATTGCCTCCTTTCAATCAAAGTTATCATTATCGGCTTGATTTCAAAGTCACTATCCGGGATCAATAATGGAGCAATCCCGCTCTCATACTTGTATGCACCCGGAGTGCCCAATTCCTTCAATGTAACCCTTTTAGCTTCTCCCATGTTCACTTGAACACATAATCTCAAACAAAATTATTGGTAGCACAGCTACAAATGTAGCCTAAAGAAGAAAATCTTTTTGTATTTTCAAATTTTTATGAAATAGACTCAACAACAAAAGCAATCATCTACACCATTCCCCGGCAACGGCGCCATTTATTATCTAAGGAGAGACTAGGTCATTGAAAACTAATCTACCCTTGGTCAAAACAAAATTTATAATCACTCAACACACCCCTATACAAAGCATAGATTAAGTCGAGGGTCAAACCATTAGGAATGGGAGGTGAATGCTAAAGTCAAAGCTAAGCTATTTCGAAAGCAATGAAATGAGGTGTGTCTATTCTACCAATCAAACAATCGAAACGAAAATCAGATTTAACAAGCACTAGGGTATGGATCCACATATACTCGTAATTAATTCAGCTAATTGGGATTGGAGATGACTAAGTCAAGTGTTGCGAGGGAAAATCGATTAAGCAATCAAGAGAATATGGTAGGATAATCGCCTAAAGGTCAAACTAGCGTCAACTACGAGAGACTCTAGCTAGGAAACTTGCAAACCTACTCAATCGACAAATGTAAGCCACAAATCAATTTTCCGTATCAATGTGAACCTACAATGCAATCTAGTATGAGAAACTTAGGTTTATCACTCCTAAATGGAACACACACATGCACATAATCAATCAACCAATTTAATCATAACATCAACTCCATCAATTTCCCTCAATTAGCATAAATCATTTACTCATATATGCTTCACCATTTCCCTAGCAAGAAAACTACTCACTATTCATGGAAATCATCATCAAAACTAAACTAAGCAACAAATTCATCATCATCATATTAATTAAAAATATACCAATTCAAAAATCAATCAACTTGAACAATTAACAAAGAAATTGAGATCAAAACTAAGATTGCATTAAAGTAAAGAAATCCTTACAAACTTGCTTCAATTCATGGAGAAAACACTTGGAATCATCAATCTTCAATCATCAATCAAGAACTTCTCTTTTACAAACTAGAGTTTCTCTCTCTAAAATTCTAAACTAATTCTATTATGATTTCTTAAAAATTTTACTCTCTCTAAAAATAGAAAGAAAATCTATATATAGTAAAACTAACTAAGAGAAATTAGCTAGATCGTCCCCAAATAAACCCGAACAGGCGCGGCCAACTATAAGAGAGAGAGCGGCCGTGCAAATCTGGGTACGGAATAGGGACCTAAACAGGTGCGCCCGCGCCCGAGAGAAGCGCGCCCGCTCCCGAGAGAGGCGCGCCCGCGCCACCAAGCTGTGCGCGCCCGCGCCTGGGAACAGGGCAGCCATCTTCCCTATCATTCCGATACTCCTCATGCGTTCCACTTAATGCTCTTAATAAACACGGGACCTTACAATTTCTAAACTCCATGTTTGCGGGTTCAAGACTAGAAATCATGCCCCCACGGCTTGAATGCACAGCTCAAGGACTTTAGGAACTTGCACTTCTCCATGCTTGAGCTTCAAATGGAGAACACTAGACATCCTAAACAATGCCGAACTTGGGAAGAGGCCTCGGGAAACTTGGATACCGACCTTAACCTGAACAATAAAGGAAAACAAGCAAATAAAAGAGAAAATAACAAAATAAACCAAGAAATGCATAAAGAAAGGAATCAAACTAAGAAAATGCAAACTAAAAGAAATAAAGAGTAAAATTAAGGAAATCTAAGTAAAAGAGCTATAGAATAGCATGAAATTCACCCTAAAAGAACCAAATGAGTGCCATAAATGACACTCATCAGAAGTCCTCTCCTAAACCAAACACTAATAATCCAATTAATACCCAAGCAATATAAATTACAGCAATACCAAACTACTTCAAAATCCAATTGAACAACATTTTAAATACTTCCCTTTTACTAAAATCAAAAGCTTATATGTAGTTCTTTAGGTTTCCTACATAAAAACTTTAAAATACATACTTATTCATGAAATTTCAGCAAGCTAAGTTTAGAGCTTTATAAAAAAATCTGAAAATTTACTTTATAAATAAAATCTTAGATTTATAGAAATCTTTGAAACAATCTACGTTATAGATTAAGTTAGTAAGCTTTAAACCTAAAAATACACCAATTCAATGCAATTAGAGACTTCAAAAACATGAAACAATAATCTGAAAATAAATTCTTGATATTAAACTTTAAATGTCAAGGCTTTGTAATCATAAAATTGTTAGGTTTCGATGAATCCAACTCACCGCGGAAAATAAAACTCGATTCGAAGAACAAACTCACAATTAATAAAACAAAATGCATAAATAACCATATTAGAGAAAAGACTAAACTACCCTTGTGGTGTGCTTTACTCAACCAGATGGAGCTCTTACTTGAGAAAGCCGAGCCTCACAAAGGGCGAGGACCTCCGACGAAGTCCACCCACAACGCAACCCAACAGGTCTACTACTTGGAGGTTAGCCAAGTCCGACCAAAACACTACTCGAGAAATTGATGAACTTATATGTTTTCTCTCAAGTGGAGATGCCCAATTGATTTCTTACTCAAGTGAATAATCCCAACTCCTAAAGTTGGTATTTATAGGCAAAGGCTCTCCAAAATTCCCATCATCTTTCCATGTGGGAGAAATGATAGTGTGAGAAAAAGAATGAATTAATTTAATTCTAAATTAAATTAAATATTCACGCAACAAGTAAACGATAAGTGGCACAAGGACAAGGAGGGTAGGTGGGAGGACAACCAAGCCTTGGGGAACAAGGTTGGTTATCCTCCCACCTCACGCCACATGGCAGCAGCCACCTCGGGCAACAAGGCGTGCTGTAGCAGCAGCCTTGTGCACCAAGGCTGTGCTGCTGCTAGACTTTGTCCCACGGCCTGACTGGCAGCCAGCCTTGCTGTGCGTCATAGCCAGCCCGTGCATAGGTCAGCCTTGCATGCTAGGCCTTGTGCTGGGCGGCCTTGCTGCTCCATGCGGGCTACTGCTAGGCCTTGGCGCAAGGCTCGGCTAGCAGCTAGCCTTGCTAGGCGCTGCGCCCAGCCCATATTATGGCCAACCATTGTGATGGGCTTGTGTTTGGCGGCTTGGCAGCCCGCTTGGCCTAGCATGCTAGCTAGGCCTTGTGCTAAGACCATTAGCCAACACACACAAGGTCACCTAGCATGCTAGGCCCGAGTGGTGCGGTTGGTGTCCTTGGAACATGT